AAAACAGTAATGTTGGAGCTTCCCTGGAGGCTTGGTAGTAAAGAATCCATCTGTGAATGCAAGAGACACGGTTCTGGGAAGAGCCCACATGCTGCGGAGGAACTAAACCTGTGCCACAACTACTGAGCCTGTGCTCTGGACCCCAGGAACCACAACTGCTGGGCCCACATGCCCTGGAACCTGTGCTCAGCAGCAAAGGAAGCCACTGAAATGAGAAACCCATGAGCCGCAATTGGGGAGTAGTCCCCACTTGACGCAATTAGAGAAAGGCCTGCTCAGCAGTGAAGACCCAGCACAAATGAAAATAACTAACAAAATTTTTAAAAGCAGTAAGTCACTTAAAATTACACATTTACTACTCTCTTGCATATGAGACCTTTTAAACATCTCAAGTGACTTTTCTCCTGTCTGAAGTTTATCTGTTAGGACAGGGTTCACAAAACACTATTTGCAAAATCAGGCAGCAGCTGGACTTGGCCTATAGGCTGAGTGTGTTTACTTTATTGGAATGCAGCCATGCCCTGAGATGTCTAGGCTTACTGAAATAGTTCCTTTGATATACATGTTTATTATCCAGGGCCTGTATCCTGTTTTTCTCCATCCCGAATTTCCCTCGGCCATCAGGGGCAACTGCAGTGGCTGATGGTTTTCTGGCCCCAGCATCCTTTGTTTACTGAAATGGCAGATGACATTCTTTGTCCACAGTGGTAATAACACGAACATGTTAATAACTTGCAGAGCTGACCCCGGTATCTATTGTTCCTGTTGCTTCTCTTAGCACTTTGTTTTCTCGTGTCTTTCTCTTACCTCTCTTGGGAATTTCTTGAGGCCTGGATCAAAGCTAGCTTCTTCCAGAGAGGGTTTGCATCTCTACTGCCCTGGGAGTACCACTTGCCTCGATCACTTTAAACTTTAGATTACAAATACCGGGTAACCATATAGTTAAGGCTATGGTCTTTCTATTAGTCATGTATGGATGTGAGAGTTGAACAATAAAGAAGGTAGAGTGCTGAAGAATTGATGCTTTTGAACTGTGGTGCTGGAGAAGACTCTTGAGAGTCTCATGGACTGCAGGGAGATCAAACCAGTCAGTCTTAAAGGAAATCAACCCTGAATACTCTTAGGAAGGGCTGATGCTGAAACTGAAGCTCCAGTACTTTGGCCACCTGGTGGGAAAAGCTGAAAAAGACCCTGATGCTGGGAAAGACTGAAGGCAGAAGGAGAAGAGGGCAACAGGCAATGAGGTGGTTGGATGGCATCACCGATTCATTGGACATGAACTTGGGCAAACTCTGGGAGATGGTGAGGGACAGAGAAGCCTGCAGGCTGCAGTCCATGGGGTTGCAAAGGTTAGGACACGACTTGGTGACTGAACAGCAACCACCCAATTCAGGCTCTCCTGAGGATGAATGCTGATTATGGTTACAGAGTTTCAGAGTTTCAGACAGTTTGGGAGCTCATGGAGGCTGGATGTCCCCTTAGGTGGGAGGGAACTCCTCTGAGGCTCCTCCTTGGGCTGGTTTTGTCCTCTGGGTTTTATCCTGGAGGCTTTTTGGATACTTATCAAATGCCCCGTGAACTAGAAATGCCCCTGCCATATCAATTAATAGAGGACGCTGCAGCCACGGTGTTTCAGCCTCCCCAAGGTGAGCGCCGGTGGAACGGGATGCCCGCCATCTAGTGGTCAACTGCTGCAGCTGCCCTGACCGTGCACCCTGAGGAGACAGCATGTGAAAAAAACACAGGATCCTGGCCTCAGAACAAGTGTGCATCAAAGGAATGATTTCAGTGAGCCCAGATTCTTGCATCTTCCCATATGTAGGTGCACTAAATTCCTTAACTTGAGATGCCTGGTTTTCTTGAACATCTTTTGATGTTCTGACTACCTAGTCTTTGTTGTGAAAACTCCTATATATCCTGGCTTCCGACCTTGCTTGCCTTTTCAGAGCAGTCCCTCAGAATGGCCTGGGATGACGAGTCCCAGGCTTAGGTCCTCAGTTTTGTCTGTGGAATAAAGCATAACTCTCAACTCTTACGTTGTGCTTTTTTTTTTCAGTCGACAACCTGTCAGGCGGAAGCTGACTTCAGAGCCTTGCTTCCTGCCTCCCTGGTGCCCACTTTCCTGAATGTTTACCCGCTCAACAGCTGATCAGGAAACATGTTTATATAGTTACTATGGCATTTTTACCCTTTTTACAGCAGGAGAGCCAGAGGACCTTGTATACCAAGCTACATGAAATGGCTCTTTTGTTTTTATTTTGAAACCTTTTTTCCTCTTGTTTACAAAATTGTGTTCATTATAGAAAATCACAGTTTAAAAAAAAGCCAAGAATAAATTTAAAAGTTGGCCACAATCTCATTCCTCAGAAATAAAAATTTAGCATTTTACTTTATTAACTTCCTACACCTATAATTTTTAAAATAAGATGACCTGAAAATAACTATCTTAGTTTATATTAGATTATATTTTAAAATATTCCCTACAGAGGCTCTTTTAGATTGCTCTGATTTAATGTTACAATTTGTGCTTCTATTGTGGGTAGGCATAAGAAAATATTCCCCTGAAATTCTCCATCTGCTATAAAGCAGGAGTAGGTGTTGGAATATTGTAATATTACTCTGTACACCATTTCATTCAATCCTGCATATTCATTTGAAGGACTGATGCTGAAGCTGAAGCTTGAATACTTTGGCCACCTGATTCAAAGAGCTGACTCACTGGAAAAGACCCTGATGCTGGGAAAGATTGAAGGCAGGAGGAGAAGGGAATGACAGAGGATTAGGTGGTTGGCTGGCATTATCAACTCAATGGACCTGAGTTTGAGCAAACTTTGGGGGATGGTGAAGGACAGGGAAGCCTGGTGTGCTGCAGTCCATGGGGTTGTAGAGAGTTGGATACAGCTTAGCGCATGAACACCACCACTACAACCATTTCTAAGAATCCTTTTAGTACATTTCTCCAGAATGTAGAGCTGAACAGTTGTATAATGTCATGTGTGTCTCCCCCTCTAGAAGCCTCTGAGAATTCTAACTCTCCTCCCTCCCTCTCTCCCCTTATCTTTTTTTTATCCCCCCCCTATGATTTTCATAAAGATCAAAGCTTATGCCAATTCTAGTATTTATCTCATCTTTGGTTTTAAATATAGTTCTTTTCCAACCATGACTTCTGTTTCCTTTGGAAAATTTATTTGGCTATTCCCAGTTTTCCAAAGGGTGTTGCTATTAATGAAATAAAACTCATATTTTATGGTGAGACTTTAAACATAAACATTTCCTCTGCCCAATTGGGCCTTCTCTCTCCCCTTTGGTGTCTGTTGTGTGTCTGCATTAACCAGACCTCCTTAGCAGATAACATTCCTTCTTAATCTCAGGAAGGATCGACACTGCTCAGGAAGATAACCTCCCTTCTTGATGTTACAAGGTCATGGTGATTCACTGTCTGTACGTGCAGATCTGGATTGTGTAAACTAGCAACAGTAGATAACCCTTTGATAGATAAGCCTTTGTCTCAAAAACTTACATAACTTACATAACTGCACAAAACTTACATAACTGCACTTTGACCTTTAGTGGGTAGAACAGTCCTAGAGCTTTCTGAAAGGTTGTCTACAGGTTTTAATCCTCAGCTTGGCTTGAATGAAGTTTAACATTTCTTAGATCGACTACAGTCTTAGGTCAACAATATTACACACCAACCCATAAACATATTTGGAAATAATATGGTCTAAATTATAAATAAGCTACCCTGTACATGCATTACTTTGCCAACTAAGGTCTGTCTAGTCAAGGCTATGGTTTTTCCAGTAGTCATGTATGGATGTGAGAGTTGGACTGTAAAGAAAGCTGAGTGCTGAAGAACTGATGCTTTTGAACTGTGGTGTTGGAGAAGACTCTTGAGAGTCCCTTGGACTGCAAGGAGATCCAATCAGTCCATCCTAAAGGAAATCAGTCCTGACTATTCATTGGAAGGACTGATGTTGAAGCTGAAACTCCAACCCTTTGGACACCTGATGCAAAGAACTGACTCATTGGAAACGACCCTAATAATGGGAAAGATTGAAGGCAGGAGGCGAAGGAGATGACAGAGGATGAGATGGCTGGGTGGCATCTGCGACTCAATGGACATGAGTTTGAGTAAACTCTGGGAGTTGGTGATGGACAGGGAGGCCGGCGTGCTGCAGTCCGTGGGGTCACAAAGAGTCGGACAGGTCTGAGTGACTGAAATGAACTGAACTGAACTGATACATAAATGAAGGTAAGTTAATTGATTAACATTGGGAGTATAGTCTCTTCTGTACAGTCCTAATATAAAATATTCTAAGTATAATGAATATATTCATTAGGACTGAGCAGCTAACCCAGTGGACACCAATTATAACAATATACTGTTTTTAAACAAGATTGATAGAAAAAGGGTCAAGTTACAGATATTCAACACATATAAATAAAAAATATGGTCTCTTGGGTATACTTGAGGAAAGTGTTAACAACCAGGGCAGGATATTGGATACCCAGTTTACCTGAATAAGAGATGCTCAAAAATAATTTTCATAAAACCAAACTTGGTAATCAATGTGCTTTTTTGTCTTTTCTTTAAAAAAAAAAAAAGAGACTTCTTATATTCTCTTTCAGAGCTGCTTCCATGTTTTTAAGTTACAATGTAGTCTGATTCCTGATAAGGTTCTGACAGGTATGAAATGTGTATGTTTTGGGTTGACTAACTTAGACTTATTAGCTATGGAGCCGCATAGAATATTGAAATAAGATAATGAGTCAGTCTTCCAAAAGATAGTGGACATGTTTCAGTTGTAGGAAAAAAAGATGTAATTTTGTATTTGAAATGTTGTCATTGGCTAATATACAATGAACTTTTGAAATCAGATTAGCAATAAAACAAAACCTTAATTTTTTAAAATCGGTTTAAGTATTGAAAACACACACATGAAAATTATAAGACTAAAGGCACATAAATCCAGAATGGGTTATGATACTGATTATATTTAAATAATTATCTTTCTCTTTCCTTCTGTGGGTGAAGATGACTTAATAGAATTTACTACGGTTACTCTAGAATCTCCAAAAGCATTGCTGGCAGATGCCTGGCTAGCGGGTAGATGATGCATCTTCCTAGCCTGCAAAGTCTCCTCAGGCTCTTTCATGACAGTAGTACTTGTTTGGTTGCTTTTTAAGACATAGCCTGACCCAAAGAGTTCCTCCATTAGATGGCTTTTCTTCTCCCTGAAAGTTGTGTCTTTTGCGTTTGTTCTGGAAGATTTAGCGAAGGAGGGTTCGTAGGCGATGGCAGGATGCTCCGGCTTCATTTCTTCCGAGTAACTGTGGTGCTTGCCTGTGCTATGAGTGTGCCTCATGCTGCCAGCATTGGCCAGCCCGCCTGAGGCAGGAAGCCCGTGATGCAGGTTTTCGATGGCTTCTGTGAATGAATAATGCTTTCTTTGTCTGAAGGGTATCTTGATATTTGGAGCAGCATTTTTATCTGGCATATCACCCATGTCACTGATTTCTGGACTTCTTTTAAACTTGTCTTTTTCTGTATCATCTTCCTGACCACCTTCCCCTTTGGGATGGATTACTTGAATTCTTTTTGGTGGTAGTTCCTGTTCTTCTTTCACTAAAGTGGCCTTCTTTTCTTGATATTCTGTTCTCTCTCTCTGTTGTCTAGCATTCTTCAGAGATGGTTGTGCTTCCAAATTTTGTTCTTCCTTGGCTAAATCTGTAGTAGAAAAATAGTCAATTTATTGATCTTTAAAATTAATAGATTTCTGTTTCAAGATGGCATGTTGAGCACACTTATTTACACCTCCTGACAAGCACATTAAAATGACAAAAAGGAAAGAAAAGCAATGCATACAACCCTAGAATCCAGGGAAAGATGCTATTAGCAAGTCTGATATGTTATACTTTTGTAGAACATACCAGATAAGTGAAAATTATGAAGCCAAAAGAAAACGATGTTCATAAACTTTGCCAATATATTATTAACAGATGTTCAACATCACCAGCTAGGTTGTGCCAATTAAAAAACAATGAGAGTATTTTTCACCCATCCAATTGGCAAGTAAGTTTCAGAACTGGTGAGAATATGGGGAAATGGAAACTTTTGTTCCCCATTTGTGGGTGAGTAAGCTGGTAGGTAGTTTGGATGGTGATTTGGAAGTCCCTATCAAAATGTTAGGTGAGCCTGCCCTTAGACCCAACAACTTCCCTTCTAGAACCAAATCCTACCAAAATATACAAAAGTGTGTCTAAGGATGTTCACTGTAGCCTGATTTAGTAAGAGTGAAACATCCGGAATATCTTTGAAAGGAGTCCTGGTTGAATCAATTAGAGCAAGTGCATGCATGCTAAGTCGCTTCAGTCATGTCTAACTCTTTAGGACCCCATGAACTGTAGCCCCCCCAGGCTCCTCCATCCATGGGATTTTCCAGGAAAGAATGCTGAAGTGGGTTGCCATTTCCTACTCCGGGGGATGCTCCCGACCCAGGGACCGAACCCAGTCTCTTATGTTTCCTGTGTTGACATTGGCAGACAGGTTCTTTACCATTAGTGCCACCTGGGAAGCCCCCAAGAATGCATGTGGCTGTGCAATCTGGGCAGTAATTACAGAGAATGAGAAGGTAGCGTGTGCTGACAGAAGAGGCAACTGCAGAACACTTTCGGGCGTAGAGATGCTCTTTCCTTTGCTGCTTCTTCCCCAGGCACCCAGGAAGCCATGTATACAGTCCCAGGACCAGACCTGCGTGGGTTCTGAGGAAACAGCATGACTCCCTGCCAGCCACTCAGCGAGGCCATCATTTGTGAGGGGGAATGGGGACACAGTCGGGTATGCAGAGAGTTGAAATGTTTTCTCATGTGAATAAATTCTTGAATAAAATAATTTACCTACACTCTAGGAAAATGAAAAAAAAATACTAGGAGGAGAAAGTAGTATGTTTCAAGAATTAATGGTGAGCCTAGAAGCCAGTCAAACATATAATTACTTCTAAATAACTGTTAATATTATGCCCTGTAACCCTTGATGAGAATGTTAACATTTGAGACCATGGGGGGGCACGTGCTTGTCTTCCACTGCCTCCCCTGCCCCCGCCTGGCCCCCCTGGCCCCAGAAGTGGGTCTGCCCCCTCCTCTGCTCCAGCTGGTTCCAGCTCCAGGGGACCTTTCTGGAGGCCACAGCCCTTGTATGACCCCTCCTCTGGCCCTGGCGTCCCGGGGACATTCTGTGCCAGGAGTAGGTCATGTCCTTACTGGTCTCTCCTCCTGAGCTGTCTGCACTCAACCTCATCCTTCCCTCCACCCCAGCCCCTCCCTACCCCCTCCTTAGTCTGGACCCTCTTTTTCGTACCCATCACCCTCCCTCACTGCAGATCTCCCCAAGGCCACAGGATCCCTAGGGTGCGGCATTTTCCCCGTGTTTGGAGCAGTCCCAGACACACAGTATATGCTCAGAAAATATTTGTCAAGCAAATGAAGAAACTTTCTAGGACAATATGTGTGTATGTTAGTTGTTCAGTGGTGTCTGACTCTTTGCGACCCCATGGACTGTAGCCCACCAGGCTCCTCTGTCCATGGGATTCTCCAGGCAAGAATACTGGAGTGGGTTACCATTTCCTTCTCCAGGGGATCTTCCTGACCCAGAGACTGAACTCAGGTCTCCTGCATTACAGACGGATACTTTATCTTCTGAGCCATTACCAAAATGAACTAAAAAACAGGGGGAAAATGTAAACAGAATCAGTATTTACTGCATTGGAACAGTGGCTTTCCAGGGGGTTCAGCCCGACCCGGGGGTTGTTTAAACTTCATTCTAAGGCCATTTGGGGACTTCCCTGGTGGTCCAGTGGCTAAGACTCTGCACTCCCAATGCAGGGGGCCTGGGTTTGATTCCTGGTCAGGAAACTAGATCCTACATGCCGCAACTAAGACCCGGCACAGCCAAATAAATAAACATTACAAAAAGAAAATAAAACTTTCCTGGTGGCTCAGAATCTGCTTGCAAAGCAGGAGACCAAGGTTCAATCCCTGGGTCAGAAAGATCCCCTAGAGAAGGAAATGGCAACCCACTGCAGTATTCTTGCCTGGAGAATCCTATGGACAGAGGAGCCTGGTAGGCTACAGTCCACTAGGGTCACAAAGAGTTGGACATATTGCAACTAAGACTTGGCATGCCAAATAAATAAACATTACCAAAAGAAAATCAAGCCACTTGGACCCCACAGCTAAGATGTGGCCTCTCCAGGCCCACTGCCCAAGGCCCTGAGGGCCCCCTGAGGGCTCCTCCCCATGGCTGCTCTTTCCTGGGGGTTGTGCTTGCCCAGCTGGGTGGAGGGTCACCCGGATGCCCCTATATCAATAATTTAACATGGAAACAATGGGGGAGTGTCTTCACCATTCTGCGGGAAAATGATCTTCAGCCTAGAGTTTTCTTTCCAGTCCATTACTAACCAAGTCTAGGGTAGAACCATGACATCCCCAGGGAAAAGCGCATGGATTTGCCTTACGTGCACCTGCTTCTCAAGAAGCCAGTAGAGGTTGTGCTCCCAGTCCAGGATGGCATTCATTACAGGAGGACACAGGGGAGTCACGGAGACCTGGTGGGGAGGGGGGCAGGAACCAGCAGGAAGGGTGAGGGGAGCCCCCGGACCACAGAGGCAAAGGGCACCAGGCCCGAGGCCAAGGGCTTCGGCCTTAAGGGCTGGCGTCACCGAGACTCTGCCAGCTAACCCCCCAGCCTCTAGCGTCCTTGGTCCATCCTGGCCGGCTGCGGCCTGGGGGCGGTGTCCCTCCCCCTGTGGTGTCTGCAGCCTGGGTGGGCCGAGAATGCTCCAGGGCCCAGTGCACGGGGCCTCTTCCTGCACCAGCAGAGCAGCCCTGCCACATGTCTGGCTCTTATGGGTCCCCATCCCCCAGGACTGTGAGTAACCTTGACCCTGGCCAGGCCCTGTGCCCTCAGGGAAGCTGCAGCCAGTCTGTGTCCGGCCTGCCTGCTCTGGAATCTTTTTCGGGGCGGTGCTTTCCTTAATTCAGCTGGGTTTGGGTTTAAGACTCAGTTTTTCAAAACTGAATATGCTGTTTAGGATACACACAGGTTTGGGAGCTAAGGCAGAAAATGGAATATCAAGGTTGCTTTTGGTGGTGGTGATGGGGCAGGGCAAGAGCGTTATGGTTATGAAGGGCCCACAGGGTGTCCCAGGGGATGCTTATGTTCTGTTTCTTAAACAAGGTAGTGGCTACACAGGTGTTTATTTTATAACAGTTTTCTCAACTGAACACATCTGTTTTATGTATACTTTTAAACACACACACAGTACTTACAACTTAAAAAACACAGTGTAAACGAGACTTTTCCCAGTTGTTAAAATTACCTTCATATTTTCTCTTGGAATCCTCTTGGTTTGGTAGTTTGCTGATACAGGGAGTAATTGCATGGATTATTTCAATAGATTTTTCTTTATGACCATTGTTTCCTGTTGTCTTCTTGCTCTATAATTTAGAAAAGTGGCAAAAAATGTTTTTTGGCGGTAGAGATAATTTTAAATTGTTTTATTTAATGAATACAACTACTTTTTGTATAGAACAAGTGTGTAGAGCCTATGTTTGCAAAAGTATGTTTAATTAGACACTTCAAGAATTCAAATTTGCTGTACCTTAGTTGTCCAAGATGGAACATCTTCCGATTTTTGGGTTTCCTGGTGTCGCATACTTGTAAATGGAAAACTTTTCCTGTCTGCTTGTACTGACTTTGTTGAAGAAACTACAGAACAGTTACATTCATTATGTGTAAGAAGCATAACTTGCATTTGGAAGCAATGTTGATTTTAAATAGAAAATAACAACTGAAGTTGGTAATGTAATAATAAAACAAAGTATACTAGACAGTTTCTAAGATGTTCAGTAAATGTCAAACATCTGCCAGTTTCACTTTCTCCTCTGCCACATCAGCACTTTTGTGCTGTTTTGGGCTGCAGAAGTCGTGGCTATCGCAGTGGTACCCAGACAAGCAGGCACGAGGATGGGTGGGCACTGCTCTGGGTGGACACAGCGGCCCCGGCTGGCAGGAGGGGTTCAGAAGCATAGTTCTGCAGTTGTGAGAGGGGCGCCACCATGTCTCCTTCGTCAGAGCTCTTGGTTATCAATCGCCCACGCTGAAGTTCATGACTTCTAAATCTGGTAGCCACTTTCCTCGGAGGTTTTATCCTATTTAAATAACCCCATGTTTGATTATCATCCCTGCTGTCTGTTATTCTGGATTATAAACCAAAAGCAAGGAGATTGTTGCCTTGAACAGTAAAAACATAGTTACTTCTAGCAAAATAAGAGGTGTTTCTTTTGTTCCTCTTAGCAGAATCTTGCTGGACGGTCTTGTCTGTCCGGGGTGGGGTGGGGTGGGGAGGGGAGTAAGTACATCCTGTCTTGAAGGAAGAGGTACTACTGATCCCCTGGAAAAAGGAATGGCAACCCACTGCAGTATTCTTGCCTGGGAAATCTCATGGACAGAGGAGCCTGGCAGGCTACATACAGTCCATGGGGTCACAAAGGGTTGGACTGAGGGCTAAACACAAACACAACACAGCAATAGAAAGGTACAAACTAATGATAATAGCACAACACAGATGAGTCTCAAACACACTCTGCTGAACAAGAGAAGACAGCTACAAAAGAGGACCTGCTGTGTAATCCCACTCGTGAGTCTGTAGAACAGGCAAACTGAGCAACTGTGGCTGAGGGGAGGTCAGAGGCGGCTTTGGGCTGGGGCTGGAGGGTCCCTCACCTGACTGCCAGGGGCAAGGGCACCTCCTGAGGAGATGGCCACATTCTACATCTAGACAGAGGTGGTGGCTACATGGGTATAAGCACGTGCCAAAACCCATTGGACTGCACACTTACAGTGGGTGCACTGCATTGAGGCGTATGCATACCCAGTCGTGTCTGACTCTTTAGTGACCCCATGAACTGTAGCCTGCCAGGCTCCTCTGTCCATGGGATTTCCCAGGCAAGAATACTGGAGTGGGTTTGCCATTTCCTTCTCCAGGGGATCTTCCTGACCCAGGGATCGAACCTGCCTCTCCTTTGTCTCTTGCATTGGCAGGTGGATTTACCACTGAGCAACCCAGGAAACCTACTGTATTGAGGTGAGAGTGTTAGTTGCTCAGTCGTGTCCGACTCTTTGCAACCCAAGGGCTGTACTTGCCAGGCTCCTCTGTCCATGAAATTCTCCAGGCAATAATACTGTAGTGGGTTGCCATTCCCAACCCAGGGGTCAAACTCTGGTCTCCTGCATTGCAGGCAGATTTTTTACCATCTGAGCCAAAGGTACCTAAATAAAGTTAACCTTAAAAATCTACACAGGGTCTTCCCTGGTGGTCCAGTGAGTGGTTAGGACTTGGTACTTCTATTGCAGGGGGTGTGGGTTCCATTTCTGGTCTGGGAACTAGGATCTTGCATGCCATGAGGCTCTGCAAAAAAAAAAAAAAAACCCAAACAAAAAACAAAACAAAACAAAAAATCCACACACTGGATGACAGATCTACCTAGAAAGTTCAGTATTTGGCGGACATTTTGCATCAAACTGAAAGTTATCCTCTCATTCACCCAAGTGAGGACAAAAAGGACTGAGCCGATGATGGGGAGAAGGAATGCATTTCTGTTTTCTTCTATCTGTTTCAACCATGTGGCAGTTTCATTATTCTATATTATGTTTCAGTGCCTAATAAAATGATTTTTTAAAAAATAGACTTTTGGACTCTGTGGGAGAAGGCGAGGGTGGGATGATTTGAGAGAATAGCATTGAAACATGTATATTACCATATGTGAAATAGATTGCCAGTCCAGGTTTGATGCATGAGTCAGGGTGCTCAGGGCTGGTGCACTGGGACGACCCTGAGGGATGGGATGAGGGGGAGGTGGGAGGGGGGTTCAGGACGGGGAACACATGTACACCCATGGCTGATTCATGTGAATGTATGGCAAAAACCACTACAATATTATAATTAGCCTCCAATTAAAATAAATAAATTAATTAAAAAAATGTCCATTATCTTGATATTAGTTAGGAAAATTTGACTACATACTTTAAAACAGATTTCAAGCAAAAATAATTGAAACACACTTTACCTTTTGGATAATCATCTTTGTCGTGTAAATTTCTGAGTATCCGGTTAGTATAGATGTTTCTAATTTCGAGCTCTCGATCCTTCTCCTATAAAGAACCACAATACAAATATTTCTATAAGTGTTTAGTTTTATCAACCTTCATTTCCTGTAAAAAACTATTTAATGTGAGGAGCTTGGTAAGCTCCAGCAGGAATAAAAATTGGCCATATCATCGTATATCATTCCCAACATAAAAAATATTTTTAAAAAATATTTATTTATTTTGGCCATGCTGGGTCTTAGTTGTGGCATGTGGGATCTTGTTCCCTGACTGGGGATTGAAACTGGGTCCCTTGGTTTGGGGAGTCTTAACTACTGGACCACCAGGGAAGTCCCCCAAAAGCACTAGCTTTTAAACAGAGTGATAAACCATTGTGACTCAGACAATATTTTGAAGAGTTTGCAGGCCAAATTCTTTCACAGTATTTTTTTCTGTTCCCTGGGTCTGCACCAAGAAGTTTACTGTTCTTTGTGGTGCAATGCAGTGGCCACTAGCCGTGTTGTTCCTTGGATTAAGTAGAATTAAAAATACTCAGTTCTCAGAGTCACATGACTGTGTTGTGGATGCTCAGTCCTGCGTCTGAGTGGTGACCACAGGGCTGGACAGTGAGAGAGAACACTGTCCTCATCACAGAAACTTGTGTCTGCACAGCCAGCGCAGGGTGGGTGGGGCCTGGAACAAAAACACTGCTCTTTAGCTTGAGATTTCAGCGCTGACTTTTTAAGTCTTGGCAACACAGAAGGTTTGACACCCTGGTTTGCTGAGAAAAATTGAAGTATGGTTGATGTATAATATTATATAAGTTACAGGTGTAGCATAGTGATCACAAGTTTTAAAGGTTACACTCCTTATTGTAAAATATTGGCTATATTCCCCATATTGTACTGTATTTCCCTGGAGCTTAGTTTATATCTAATAGTTTGAACCTTTTACTTTCCTACCCCTATAGTACCCCTCTACCTCGCCCTTCCCATTGCTAACCACAAGTTTGTTCTCTATACTCATGAGTCTGCTTCTTTTTTATTATATTCACTAGGTTGTTGTATTTTTTAGACTCCACATTTAAGTGGTATCATACAGTATTTGTCTTTCTCTGTTTGACTTATTTCACTTGATATAATACCTTCCAAGTTAGGCCATACTTTAAAAGTCAGTTTTGTAAGAAGCAAGTGAGACTTTAAAATGAATTTTTGTGTATATAAAGTAGATAAGCAACAAGGATTTAGTGTATAACTCAGGCAATAATATTTAAGATCTTATAATAACCTATAATGGAAAATAACCTGAAAAAATATAACTGAACCACTTTCTACCTGAAACTAACATAATATTGTAAATCAACTATGCTTCAAAAAAACAAATAAAATGAATTTATGGGCCACTAAAATTATTTGAAATATTTTAATAAGTTAATTCTTTAATCCAAAAATTTATTTTGGGTTCCACTAAAGTGTTGAGGCTGAAACTTCAATACTTTGGCCACCTGATACAAAGAGCTGACTCATTGGAAAAGACCCTGATGCTGGGAAAGATTGAGGGCAGGAGGAGAACGGGATGACAGAGGATGAGATGGTTGGATGGCATCATCAACTCGATGGACATGGGTTTGGGTGGACTCCGGGAGTTGGTGATGGACAGGGAGGCCTGGCGTGCTGCGGTTCATGGGGTTGCAAAGAGTTAGACATGACTGAGTGACTGAACTGAAATGAAAGTGTTAACAAGGTACAATAATATTACTTCATGTGATGAGATAAAAAATGATAACAGAAGTCTTGTAAATAGAGTTAATTTTTCTAATTATAGTGCATATTCATCAGGCTGTTAACTCATTCTAATAATTTCTGTTCTTAGGGGAAAAACTTAATTTGAGAAAGCTATTCTTTAAGTAATTTAAAGATATATTAGGCAGTGGCCACAGGACTGGAAAAGGTCAGTTTTCATTCCAGTTCCCGATAAGGGCAATGCAAAAGAATGTAAAAATTATGGTACATCTGCACTTATTTCACAAGATAGCAAGGTGATGCTCAAGATCCTTCAAGCCAGGCTTCAACAGTACATGAACCAAGAATTTCCAGATGTACAAGCTGGATTTAGGAAAGGTAGAAGAACCAGAGATCAACTGGCTGCCAACATCCGTTGGATCATAAAAAAGCAAGGGAATTCCAGAAAAACATCTACTTCTGTTTCATTGACTATGCTAAAGCATTTGACTGTGTGGATCACAACAAACTGTGGGAATTCTTAAAGAGATGGGAATACCAGACCACCTTACCTGTCTCCTGTGAAACCTATATGCAGGTCAGGAAGAAACAGAACCAGATATGGAACAATAGACTGGTTCAAAATTGGGAAAGGAGTATGTCAAGGCCGCATTTTGTCTCCTGCTTATTTAACTTATATTCAGAGTATGTAATGTGAAATGCCAAACTGGACAGAGCTCAAAGCTGGAATCAAGGTTGCTGGGAGAAATATCAATAACCTCAGATATGCAGATGACACCACCCTTATGGCAGAAAGCAAAGAGGAACTAAAGAGCCTCTTGATGAAAGTGAAAGAGGAGAGTGAAAAAGCTGGCTTAAAACTCAACATTCAAAAAACTAAGATCATGGCATCTAGTTCCATCAGTTCATGGCAAATAGATGGGGAAACAATGGAAACAGTGACAGACTTTATTTTCTTGGGCTCCAAAATCAATGCGGATGGTGACTGCAGCCGTGAAATTAAAAGATGCTTGCTTCTCGGAAGAAAAGCTATGAGAAACCTAGACAGTGTATTAAAAAGTAGAGACATCACTTTGTGGACAAAGGCTGATGTTGAAGCTGAAACTCCAATACTTTGGCCACCTGATGCGAAGAACTGACTCATTTGAAAAGACACTGATGCTGGGAAAGATAGAAGACAGGAGGAGAAGGGGACAACAGAGGATGAGATGGTTGGATGGCATCACTGACTCAGTGGACATGAGTTTGAGCAAACTCCAGGAGTTGGTGATGGACAGGGAGGCCTGGTGTGCTGCAGTCCATGGGATTGCAGAGTCAGACATGACTGAGTGACTGAACTGAACTGAATTGTCCATATAGTCAAAGCTGTGGTTTTTCTGGTAGTCATGTACAGATGTGAGAGTTGTATCATAAAGAAGCCTGAGCACAAAAGAATTGATGCTTTCGAATTGTCGTGTTGGAGAAAACTCTTGAGAATCCCTTGGAGTGCAAGGAGATCAAACCAGTCAATCATAAAGGAAATCAGTCCTGAATATTCACTGAAAGGACTGATGCTGAAGCTGAGACTCCAATACTTTGGCCACCTGATGGGAAGAGCCGACTTATTGGAAGAGACCCTGATCCTAGAAAAGATGAAGGCAAGAAGAGAATGGGGCAACAGAGGATGAGATTGTGGGTTGGCATCATCGACCCAATGGACATGAGTTTGAGCAAATTCCGGGAGATAGTGAAGGACAAGGAAGCCTCATGTGCTGCAGTTCATGGGGTTACAAAGAGTCGGACATGACTGAACAACAACAGCTCTGATATTTTTGGAAGCTGAATTTCACAAGTTTTGGTACATTTTGCTTTTAAAAAAAGTACCTTAAGTTTTTGTTGAAGGTGTTTTACTTCCATCTGCAGAGTCTTTGTGGCAGCCTGAGCTGCTAAGGTCTTCCGGTTCTCAAAGGTCAGCTGCCGAGTAAAGGCTTTATGGTTCAGCCTCAATTGTTTCTCCAAGCTCTGAAAACAGTACATATTTCAGCTCTTTGTGACCAGTGTAATATTATACAAAACTTCTACTTTAGTGAAACTAATTACATTTATGAAAAGTTCAAGATTTTAATACAATTTTAGTGGGGAGAACACATATTAGAACTAAAAATTATCATACACACACAGAGAGGCACAAAGCCCAAAAATCTCAGATCCCAACTCTAGAGAATAAATATCATGTTTACAGTCTGATATTTTTTACACTCTGCAATTTGATTAAAAAAAAATTTTTTTTGGAACAGAGCCTGAAAATCAATAAGTATAATCAGTGTTACACTTTCAAACTAAACCTAAGCAATTGTGTTGTAATGAAGTATTATGCTAACTTGGCATAGTGCACTCTGTGAAAATCTTTCAAGCATCTCTTGCTGAAAGGTTTACCAGCATCAGTACAGATCATGATTCAGGGACTGTGATTCTCAGATAACCGAGACTGGAAATTATGCTGGGGCCTCACAGAGCCACACCCGTGTGAATGGGTTAAATGTGAGACAGTGAAATGACTGACTTATTATAGCACGATAACCTTCTATAAAAATGCAGGATTTACTATTGCATATTCACCTTTCTGGAATGAGACCTGTTTTACTGGAGAACTGTTTGATCAGGACTTTAATAGGAGGTTGGCCTAAAGACCTTTTCTTTCCTTTTTTACCATAAAGTTTCCCTTTATGGATTCCCTCATTATAACATTTCTCATTAAAGTGTAAAATATGGTAAACTAATGGGATTGAAATGAAATAATCTTTAAAATCACACTTTCTAAAATATTAACATTAAAAAAATACCTACATGTTTTGTCTCACAAATGTTTTCCCCCCACCAAATGCCCTAAAATCAAATGAAATCTCCTATATGACCAAGTGCTCCTAATAAGAAAATAGCTAAGTAGTTCTTGAATTCTTTTTGGTTTTGGTTGTAGTATAGAGACATGAGCTACTTAAACATATGTGTAAAAATATGTATATGAGATACAAATACATGTACTTTCACATGACAGATAGATGCTAAGATGGATTCAATGCTACCTGAAATGCCAAACATTAGAACCTTGGTACACTATTTACATCAGTAAAAAAGGAGGTTCCTCATTATGTCCTGTAGCTCACACATCCATTTTATGTGAGAAAATTCTCTTTGAAAATAGAGGAGGGTTTTTTACCAAAAAGGAAAGAAATAACTGAGAAGTGGCTGATATGAACTTAATGTCTTATTATTTCAAGTAAATACTTTTCTACTTCATGAACGATTTCTACTTCATAGAAAATACTTGTCTCTCACCATTAAGGAATTTGAAAGAGTAAGTTAAGTCCATTTGTGTCCATTCCATTTTGTGTTGATAGAGACCAAAACCACTTAATGTAAAATAGGCAGAATTCTCAGTGTAATCAGTGTTCTTCCAAATCACCCCTTGTAATCCCAAGATTTTGACCACCATGTACCCTTCAGGAATACCAACCTATCCATTCCTTCAGTGATTTACATTCCTTTTCCCTATCTGTCTTCAGGAATATTACCGAGAAAAATGTTCTGTTTCCAGGACATGGGTCTTTGTGGTAATGACTGGACAGATGGATGAGGTAGAGAACAAGGAAGGGGGTGAGGAGATGCACTTACAGTTTAGGGAAGTGATCTCTTCAGAAGCAGTTTGGAGCAGAGGCTCACTTTCTAAGAGAGGTTTCCCACAACACAGGACAACACACCGCCCTTCAGCATGTGAACAGACTCCCCTAACCCTGGTCGCCAGACTGCCTTAGAGAATGGTCATTTCCAGATAAATGAGCCCAACTGTAACCGAGCAGGATGCTACAGGGCTTTTCTGGAACAGGGACCCCTCCCTACCACATGTCCTCCATCTGCCTCCTGTCTTTAGAAAAACTTTAGCCTCCTACAACTTGCTTGAGTTCCAAGGAGCAAATTTAATCAGAGAAGTGAGAAGATGCAGAAAGAAATGAAAATAGTAAAGTAAGACAATTTGTTTCCCTTGTGGCTCAGATGTAAAGAAGCTGCCTGAAATGCAGGAGACCCAGGTTTGATCCCTAAGTCAGGAAGATACCTTGGAGAAGGGAATGGCTACCCACGCCAGTATTCTTGCCTGGAAAATCCCATAGACAGAGGAGCCTGGTGGGCTATAGTCCACGGGGTAGCAAAGAGTTGGACATGACTGAGTGACTAAACACAGCACAAGACAAAATAATAATAGTTAAGCTATTAAAGTTAAGAACTTTTAGTTCCTCCTCAAGGGCTATAGGTAATATTCTGATCCATGTCCTGTGAGCTGTTTTGGAGATACTGAACCCCCACCAGGTGGAAGAAGTTTAACTGCATGCTGCCCACAAGCACGTAGACCCCAGACTGGTTGGAACCAGAACATTGATGATGTTGACTCCTGAATACCTCACCACCAACCAGTCAGAGGAATGTCCATGAACTGATCACATAACACAAACCCCCCCAACCTTGTCTTTAAAAATCTTCCCCTGAAAGCCACTGGGGGAGTTCAGGCGTTCTGATCACTAACTACCTGGATTCCTTGCTTGGCATTTGCAATAAACGCTGCGCTTTCCTTTAGCACCTCAGCACAGTGTCAATAGACTGACTTTGCTGCCCGTGGACGAGTGGACCTGAGTTAGGTTGGGTGACACAGACACAGGAGGAGCCCTGGATCAGTCCACAACAAGAGGGGCTGTTTCCGTCTCTCCTGAGCGCCTCCCCTTCCCTGCACCCACCCCATCCCCACTGAACACCACCATCCGTGTGCTCAGCCCAGTAGAGCTTCATTCCTCAGGCAAGTATGATGAATGTGCACCCTCTCCAGATTGATTTTGGAACCTTGACATTTTTAGGCCTCTGAAGTACAGACCTGTATCTTTTTGTCGTTTGCCTCCATCTTTGCTGTAAGAATGGACAATCTCTGAGTGAGCTCTTCCCTCTCTGCAAGACTCTTGTCTTCAGAAATCTTCTGCAGGGCCTGCAAGGCATCTTTTGTCCTCAGCAGCTCACCATCCGTCTCTCTCAGCTTCCTCGACACGGCTCTTTCCTTTCCCTGGGATTTCCTGAGGAGCTGTCTTAAATTTTTCACTTCATTCTGATGTTTGGCCATAATTTGAGGTAGATTATTTTGTGAATTCTCATATTTTCCTATAGCTTTCAAGTGCTTAAGCTGGACTTGTTTCAGATATTGGTTTTCTATGACTGTGGCCTCTACTTTGTGGTGCAGATCAGCTAACTCATTCTTCAGTTCTTTGATCTTATGAAGCCTCGCTGACAGGATGCGGTGGGCCATGGCATCACGTCGCTGGGCAGCAACACGGATATGAGAGTTGAGAAATGGTACGTTCCATCTGTGCTTTTTTCCAACCGAGATTTCCTTCTGGCCTGTGTAAGAAGATAATCCAGTTTGTTACTATAGTCATACGTATGTGCTTAGTTGCTTAGTCACGTGTGACTCTTTGTGATCCTATGGACTGTAGCCCACCAGGCTCCTCTATCCATGGGGATTCTCCAGGTAAGAATATTGGAGTGGGTAGCCTATCCCTTGTCCAGGGGCTCTTCCTGACACAGGAATCAAACCAGGGTCTCCTGCATTGCAGATGGATTCTTTACAAGCTGAGTTACCAGGGAAGCCCAATCATATGCATATAGATATGTAAGTATGCAGGTATCTGTAATACCCATGCCCCCCTCGCCCCCACTCCCACACACATATACACATACACATGCAAGGTAGAAGGGGAAGGAACTAACACTGAATGAATATTCATGCTTTAGGCTAGGTACTTTATGTCTAGCTATCTCATTTAATGCAATCCTTTAAGGTCAGTAGTAGTCCATTTTATAGCTGGAGATTATAAGTCATGTGTCCATGGTTACATAACCACAAAGTGACATAAAAGAAATTGAAATCAGGTCTTCTCTGACTCTAAAACCTGTACTTACTTCTATTATAAAAGGTAAACTAAAAACCATAAGAATAAATAGCATTTACCAAGCATTTTCCATATGTGAAGCATTGAATTAAATGCTTTATGTAATAGATTATCTGATCTAATTCTGCCAACAAAATGTTATGAGGCAACTAGAGGGTAACATTAGAGCCAAGAGTTATATATGAAGGTCTCATAGATTTAAAAAGATGTTTAAAGAGCCATTAAATTGCTTAGAGAATTCATATAAGTATTCTATCTCTCAATATATCTAACATAGGCAGTTTTCCCTTTGTTGCTCTTGGCCGGGCACTCAATTAACCAGTTAGATGGTTTGTGCTCAGGAAACTATTTTGATCAAAAAGCATCTAAATGATATTACACCAAGCTCATATAACTGAATTTGCATATGTCAACTGCATGTGTGTAACATTATTGTATTATCATCCCATTTTATTTTTTAAGTTAATTTTCATTGAAGTATAGCTGCTTTACAAGGTTGTGTTAGTTTCTGCAATACAGAAAAGTGAATCAGCTATATGTGTACCTACATCCCTTCTCCCTTGGATTTCCTTCTCATTTAGGTCACCACAGAGCACTGAGTAGAATTCCCTATGTAGCATGTTCTCATTAGTTATCTATTTCATATATGGTATCCGTAGTGTCTATTACCCCATTTTAATGATGATGCGTATCAATGGGCACACAGCTCGTAGGTGGTGAAACAGACCCAGGTCCGTGTGCCTTTGCCACTGCCCCACAGGTATGTGCGTTTCTATGATATTCATGTGTGCATCTGTGTATGTACACATGTGTGTGCCTGTATACATATCAGTATACTTATATTCTGATAAAGAGCAGTTGGAACTGGATTCTAGAGTCTAAAAATGTATGATTCTCATCCTGCAGAGAGAAAGGCTCTTAGTGGCCAGTGTCACTGGGGTCCTAGCCCTGAGCTACTGGCCCAAGTGAGGACACATTGTTTGAGACACGGCTCAGTGTGCTTGGTCTAGTGGTGGGAAAGGCAATTCTGCCTGTGATGGAAACCACGAGCCAGCAAAGACAGAGGACACTTTCTGGGGATAAAGCATGTGGATCTTGGATATGACAGACCACACAGATTTCACAGTGACCACACTATCTGTTTCCCAGGTGGTTCAGTAATAAAGAATCTGCCTGCAAATGCAGGAGATGCAAGAGACATAGGTTTGATCACAAGGTTGGGAAGATCCCCTGGAGGAGGAAATAGCAACTCTCTCCAGTATTTTTGCCTGGAGAATCCTCATGGACAGAGGAACCTGGCAGGCTATAGTCCATATTGGAGCCGCAAAGAGTCAAACGCGACTGAGCGACTAGCACTTTCCTTTTTTTAAAGCTGAATGGTTAAGCTACTCTTAAGATACCTAGTTGTTAAACCACTAAGCTAAAACACTTAAATTAATTCACCAAAAACATGTATATCTAGGTCCATAGTTAGTAAAAAGAGGACTCTTATTACTCAAGACTAGTCACGACTTCCCAGTACAAAGAGTGAAATAAGCTCTTTGAACAGACCTAAGCCCTACTCCTGCTTTACTGGCTCCAACCACTCCTCTTTGCTCAGCCATTGCCCCAGGTGCACCCTCACCCCCATCCTCCTTTTCAAAGCACCTCTGTCCTCCTGTCACACCGCTGCGCCCATCCTCCCTGGCCCTGTCATGGTCCTGTCTCCCTGTCTGTCATCTTCCTCTTAGTGTCACAGTCCCATTCTGTTCCTGCTGTCTGCGCCCTCAGTCTGGTTCAGGTCTGCATCCTGAGCCAGGTCCCTGCTGGTGCTGGCTCTGCCCTCTGCTGGGCCCTCTCTCTCTTCCAGGTCACGTTAAAGGGGGTGGCCCCTTCTTCCAAGGACCAGGGTAGGAAGAGGTTCAAAGGCAGGCCTTTCCTCTTCCTGTTCTCCACAGCTCCAGCATCAGTCGCAAAGTACACCTCCTCAACCCCACCTTAGGGCTTCCACCCACCTCTGCCCAAAGGCAACAGGGAAAAAGGTGTCCCGAGCAACTGAACACAGTAAAATAACTTTTCTTTTTTGGTATACCATTTTCTCCCCCATTTTTAAAAATTCTGAGCTCAGAGCAAGTGTAGCAAACCTTCATAGTTATAAAGGTCCACAGTAAAACCTTTTCATCATTGCTCAGAAATGATCAATCTTTCATACACCTACATCCATAGCCAGCTCTCACTCACCCACCAATAAGTCCTCAGTTATCTACTGTCACCTTTACACAAACCCACACACATCTTATTTTAAATTATTTTCTTGCTTCTCAGAACAACAGAGATCACGCATCAGGTAGACTAGGAGTTCTTCTGAGGCTCAGATTTGGCTATTTTCATCATTGATCCACTTCAGTGAGAGTGGATCTCAGAGAAGGTATACCAGTTTTTTGAATGACCTTCACAAAACGTCTTGGTGGGCTTCCCAGGTGGTCCTAGTGGTAAAGAACCTATTTGCCAATGCAGGAGACATAAGGAGTCTGAGGTTTGATCCCTGGGTCAGGAAGATCCCCTGGAGTAGGGCATGACAACCCCCTCCACTATTCTTGCCTGGAAAATCCCCTGGACAGAGGAGCCTGGCAGGCTACAGTCCATGGGGTCACAAAAAGTCAGACATGACTGAAGCGACTTAGCATGCAGCCATGTGCACACATGTTTTGGTGTTGTATTGACAAATCATATCAAGGAAAGGTATAACTGAAGGAGTTCTGAAAGTACATTTTTTTCTGCAAAGAAAGAAATAACCATATTTTGAAAATAAAATTATAGAAATATATTGCTTGCTATTTATATTAATCTAAGTATATAAATCTCAGGTATCTAACCAGAGCAAAAATCCTGTCAAATTGAAGTTGTCATTTTATCCTTATAATTTTTCTCTACGAGGTGTTTTTCTGCTATAAAATTTGCTTTTCTAAGATGAGAATTGAAAATAATCTCTGAAGCTATTATCCTTGAGTGAATTCTGGGTCTCTGCTGGTGGTTCCTGATTCAGTGTTGCCAGCCCCTGAGGGTCAGAGGTCTCCTTTTATATATCAGAAAGCTGAACAGAAACTGAACCTTCACTCAAGAAGGCACTGCACTGGTTAATCATTGTGCCTTATTGGCTGAGGTTAGTTACATCTTTGTGTGCCTACTTCGTTGCTAAGTTTTGTCCCACTCTTTGTGACCCCATGGACTGCAGCCTGCCAGGCTCCTCTGTCCATGGAATTCTCCAGACAAGAATCCTGGAGTGGGTTGCCATTTCCTTCTCCAGCGGATCTTCCTGATCCAGAATTGAACCTGCATCTCCTGCACTGGCAGACAGATTCCTTACCACAAAGCCACCATGGAAGCCCAAGAATTACATTACCCGAGCATTGATTCTTTAATTACTTGCTGATTGAATTTTTTTTGGCACACATTTACACCACATGGGCTGTGAAGGAACAAAAGAATAAAAGGATACACCAAGAATATTTTTTTATCATTCTGTGACAAAGCTTGATGTTACAAGTGTTTGAAGGTCATTATACACTGGAGTACAGTGCATCTTCAGGGGCATAAAATTTGGGTTAAAGAAGCATCCAAAATTTACTTAAAATAATTTGAGAGTATTCATATACAAAAAGAGTACCCAAGGGAGAGCAAGCCCTCACTAGGATCATGGAATTTAGGTTCTGCGTGTTCAGTCGCTTCAGCAGTGTCCGTCTCTTTGTGACCCCATGGACTGTGGCCCACCAGGCTCCTCTGTCCATGGGATTCTCCAGGCAAGAGTACTGGAGTGGGTTGCCATGCCCTCCTCCAGGAGATCTTCCTGACCCAAGGATCAAAGTCTCCTGCATTGGCAGGCAGATTCTTTACCACTGTGTCACCTGGGAAACCCTCACTTGGATCATGGAATTTAGGTTCCAGTCCACTGTGAAGTGATAGTTCGTTTGGGCTGCTGCCAATTTATGAGCAAGTATCTTGCATAAAGAACACAATAAACATTTGTGGAATAAATAAATGAGGAATCAGTTAAAAAAATTTGTATTGTAAGGCTCTTAGAAACAACATGCAGTTTGTTTCTTGTAGAAATAATTTTATAAACACTAACTGACTTCTTACACAGTTCTGTGAAATCCTAGACTCAATTTAAGATGTAGTATATTGTTTGATGATTTCTTGTCATAAACCCATGGGGGCCAGATTACTTCTGAATTTTGGGGGGTTTATTCTTTGTGATGGGCTTTCCTGGTGGCTCAGCCTTTTCCTGGTAGGGTCTTCTGCCCTGGCCTTGCCAGTGGGTGCAGGACTCCCACCTCTCCAGAGAAAGGGCTGTGAAACCTTTCGAGAATCTGGAGGAAAACTATGGATCCTTCTCCCTAGAAAGTTCACAAATACAGATAGATGTGTGTGTGCATGTGCCCGTGTGCGCGCGCACACACACACACACGGCAAAGGATTCCCTAAGGCTCCCAGAGTCAAGTCTTAGATGAGAGTCCCTGTTCTGAAGCTGGGAAGAAGGGCAACTGAAGACTCTAGCTCTTCACAGGGTCCCAGGCAGGCACTGGGTGAATGTGGCCCTGGACGTGCTCCAAGTCAACAGGCTCCTAATTGTTTTTTGGCCGCTGACTGACAGCAGTTCTGATGGTCACAGCCGGAAGAGAGTGGCAGTGGTCTCTGCACGGGGAATGTTTATAAGCCCAGCACTGCATGCCTGGGAACAACCATAATCTAGGCAAGGGGGTAGGAAGTGAGGAGGTCGAGGACGGTGCAGGGCTACTCCCAGTGGGGACAGTTAGAAGCTGCTGCTGTTGCTACTCTTAAAGTCCACAAGGAAATGACACTAACAGCCTTTTGACCAGCCCTTTTCCTAAAGAGCATCTTTGCCAATATGCCTCACCCCACCCGAAGACCATCTTCCTGGGATGCTGAGACAGATAGTTACATTTCATTGGAGATTGAAACCTTGACTCTTCAGCTGAGATGAAAGGCAAGAAGCCCGTGAAATCCAAGTACTGTGGTGCTCTGTAACAGGGCCACCTGTTAACTAAAAAGGGAACTAACCTCACTCATGGGTTCCAGGAGGGAAAGCTGGGCAAGAGGGCTTTCTGTCATTTTGTGATTATTTTTAATTTCCCTATTTCCTACTCCTTCTATAAAAAAATTCACTTGTAATACTTATAACTTTATAAGTACTGGTACAATCTGGAAAAACAATAAAACTGAATATCAGCCACTCCAGGTTACCAGTTCGTTAAATAATAATGTCATTATAACCCGAAATTTGGTCTTGGTTGGGAGATTTTGCTTCTTACCTTTAGGTTGGGAGATTTTAGAAACATTATACTTCTTCTCCTTCTTTTGTTTTACTGTAGGCTTCTCTAAGTTGTTCCTAGCTGTGGTTTCTGAGAACTCAGACAGAAAGTCTTCTGAATAATCGCAGTGGGAGCCTGGGCTTCTGCAGGAGCACCGAGATCTGCTGTAATCAACACTCTTGTCAGAAGCATCACTGTTCCTGGCAACACCTGGGCTGCTGCCCTCCCATTTTGAGGAACTCCTGCCATTTTCGATGGCCATGCCGGGGAAATGTCCACCTAGATTTGTTTCTGTTGGACCAGCCAATGACATAGTAAACAACCTAATAGAAGAAAAGTATTTTTAGATTTAGAGCTACAGCCCTTAAAACGAACCTATGCTTTATTACGTGTGTGTGTTCAGTCGTGTCCAACTCTTTGTAACACCATGGACTGTATTCTGCCAGGCTCCTCTGTCCATGGGATTCTCCAGGCAAGAGTACTGGAGTGGGTTGCCATTTCCTCCTCCAGGGCACCTTCCCGATCCAGGGACTGGACCAGTGTCTCTTACGTCTCCTGCATTGGCAGGTGGGTTCTTTACCACTTGATCCACCTGGGAAGCCCATGCTTTATTATAGTTAACTAACTATAAATGCACAATTAGGAATGCAAAACAACACAATTATTTTTGAAGTGTGTTCCGGAAAAAATTTTCAATTTGTCTTTTATATTTTTTTCTACCTAAAATATAAGACTCCTGAGACTGGAGTTTGGGGAGACTGTATTGACAGGAATTATAAAGTTCACATCAGATAGCAACAACAGGGACAACTTATAAGTTAGTGAATTACATTCTCATTCTCTGAGGCTGGCTGTTGGGATTTTTAAAAATTGGAATATAAAAAAAATTGGAATATAGTTGATTTACAACCTTGTGTTAATGTCAGGCGTACAGCAAAGTGATTCAGTTATATATATATATATACGCACTAGAACACAGAATGCTTTAAATTCCCAAACCAGTTCTATTTCTGAATCTTTCTGTAAGAACCACTTTGAACTTCCTTAGGCTCAGTCCGAACTCTGTTTGGTTTTGGGAAATGATGATCAGGTGCTGTCTGGAAGATTTCAAGGCCTTCCTGCTGATTATCAAGAGGGATAAATGGCACCTCACTGTTGTTTACTGGATGGTGAGGATCACCTAACTGTATTCATTCATTCACCTGGGAAAACAACCAGGTGACTCCTCCATGTGTGGTCACTGTTCTTCCCCAGAGAGTGATTGAGAGGAGAGCTACATTTACCCTTCAGAGGTTGACTTTGGAATGCACACAGGTGGTGGGCAGCATCTAAGGTGGCCTGCACCGATGCCCACTTCCTGGTATAATCCCCTGCACTCCAGTGTGACTCAGAGGTGGCTTCTAAGGTGGGGTAACTAAAGGACTCTGACTTCCCTCTTAAAAAAATTTTTTTATTTATCTATTTATTTTTTAATACTACATTTATTATTTGTAGTAAATACATTAATATTATTTGTTTATAATAAATGGGCTTCCCTGGTAGCTCAGACGGTAAAGAATTTGCCTGCAATGTGGGAGACCTGGGTTTGATCCCTGGGTCAGGAAGATCCCCTGGAGGAAGGCATGGCAACCCATTCCAGTATTCTTGCCTGGAGAATCCAATGGACAGAGGAGCCTGGTGAGCTACAGTCTATGGGGTTGCAAAGAGTTAGACATGACTGAGTGACTAACACTTTCACTTGCACTTATAATAAATAAATTATATTTACATTATTTATATCATATTTATATATAATAAATAAGTGTTATCTATAATATATTGATATTATTAATATAATTTATATTAATGTACATAATATTATATATACACACACACAGGTCTCTGTTACTGCCTGTGGGCTTTCTCTGGTTGCAGTGACCAGGGTCTACTCTCTAGTTCTGGAGTGCGGGCTTCTCATCTTAGTGACTTCTGTTGTTGCAGACCATGCGCTCCAGGGGGCAAGGGTTCAGTAGTTGTGACACATATCCCCATGGCAAGTGTGATCTTCTTGGACCAGTAATTGAACCCATGTTCCCTGCATTGGCACACGGATTCTTAACCTCTGGCCATGGGGAACATCCAGCGTGCTGTCTTGATATATCCAATTTATGATAGAGTACAGTTCAGATTTTCAGATTGTCGGTAGCATTTACATTTTGAACAATCAGTGTTTACAGTATAATGATGCCCATTTTATTGCACTTGAAGCATGATTTCACTATGTTTCTATCGTTATAGAGTTTACAGTATTAGTAGTCTCTTTGCTGTTATGTATGACTCAGGAATTGCGGGTCAAGAAGAAACAGAACCTGACATGGAAGAGCTGACTGGTTCAGATTTGGGAAAGGAAAATGACAAGGCTGTATATTGTCACCCTGCTTATTTAACTTATATGCAGAGTACATCTTGTGAAATGTCAGGCTGGATGAAGCACAGGCTGGAATCAAGATTGCTGGGAGAAATACCAATAACCTCAGATATACAGATGACACCACCCTTATGGCAGAAAGTGAAGAGGAACTGAAGAGCCTCTTGATGAGAGTGAAGGAGGAGAGTAAAAAAGCTGACTTAAAACTCAACATTATAAAGCTAAAATCATGCATCAGGTCCCATCATTTCATGGCAAATAGAAGGGGAAAAAGTGGAAGCAGTGACAGATTTTCTCTTCTTGGTCTCCAAAATCACTACAAATGGTGACTGTAGTCATGAAATTAGAAGACACTTACTTCTTGGAAGGAAGGCTATGACATATGTCAATCTGAGGTGTTTTTTTTTTTTTTTTTTTTTTTTTGCTTTTTAAAGCAAATACATCAGTTTACCGGCAAAGGTCCATATAGTCAAAGCTATGGTCTTTCCAGTAGTAAGGTACGGATGTGAGAGTTGGACCATAAAGAAGGCTGAACACCAAAGAATTGATGCTTTCAAATTGTGGTGATGGAGGACTCTTGAGAGTCCCTTGGAATGCAAGGAGAGCAAAACCAGCCAATCCTAAGGGAATCAACCCTGAATACTTATTGGAAATCAACCCTGAATACTCATTGGAAGGACTGATGCTGAAACTGAAGTTCCAGTACTTTGGCCACCTGATGCGAAGAGCTGACTCATTGGAAAAGACCCTGAGGCTGGGAAAGACTGACGATAAAAGGAGAAGAGAGTGGCAGAGAATGAGATGGTTGGATGGCATCACTGATTCAATGGACATGAACTTGGGCAAACTCTGGGAGATGGGGAGGGACAGGGAGGCCTCACATGCTGCAGTCCATGGGGTCCCAAAGAAACACAACTTAGCAACTGAACAACAACAACAACAATGACTCAGGAATACAACCCATAATTAAAAAGACTAATGGAAAATTGTGAATCCTTTGATGATATTATTTTTCTGGAATGCACTGTGGTGAAAAGGGGTATCTACTTATGTATACAATAAATTTGTAAATCACGTTCATTTAATTATAGAATGAGAAATAAGATTGCTGAAGAGCAAGATTTACATCTGAATAATTCTGAACACTACAGTGTTGTATAGTTGCTCAATTCTGCTTTTACAACAAAGCCAACCAAAAAATAAACACAAGCAAAAATGTTTTAAAATGAATAAATGTGGACTTCCTTGTGATGCAGTGGATAAGAATCCGTCTGCCAATGCAGGGACATGGATTCAGTCTTCCGTCTGGGAAGATTCCACATGCTGAAGGGCAACTAAGCCCCTGAGTCACAACTACTGAGCCCACGTGTTGCAGCTACTGAAGCCCATGCGCCTAGAGCCTCTGCTCCACAAGAGAAGCCACTCCAGTGAGAAGTCTGTGCACTGCAGCAAAGAATAGCCCCAACTCGCAACTAGAGAAAGCCTGCACACAGCAATGTAGACCCAGTGCAGCCAAAAAATAAAAATAAATAAAATTTTAAATAAACATAAAATGAATTAATGCATACCTGCTGTTCTTTACCAAATGTTCCTAAGATGTATAAAAAATAAACTTTATGTCCTGAGTGGAGGGGTCTTCACACTGTAGTATTTATGAAGTTTTCAGGATGGTGTTTTTTTGACATGTTTTGATTTCTTTTTAAGAAAATAATGTATTTCAAAAAATCTAGAATGATATTACGGAAGGAAAATGTTAAGAGCCCATAAACAAACATTTATAAAAGAAGTTAAAAGTTTTGAACCAGTATTAATCAGTATTCATTCATTTGCATATGAATTGCTCTATACTTCACACACTATAAGGCTTTTTCTCTATCAAAGTGATTTGTAAATTGTATGTTTCATGATGGTAGTATTTTTGATGGTTTTGTCTATGCTGTATCTTCCGTGTCTAGAAGAGTTTCTTGGAAATAATGTGTCCAATAAATAGTGATTAAATAAATTAATGTTCAGGGTGTCTGTATGCTTAATTCTTGTCTCCATATCCATTACTCCTGACAAACTTCTCATGACTGTGACTCGACTCAATCCCTAAATGAATGCTTCCCAATATAATAAAGAAATACATATCTCAAACTAAAAGCTAACCTCATGCTTAACAGTGAAACATTAATTTACATTGTAAAAATTAAGATAAAGGTGCTAATGATCACTTCTGTTGACTAATAATTGTTCTGTAGGCACTGCTGCTGCTACGTAACTTCAGTCGTGTCTGACTCTGTGCAACCCCATAGACGGCAGCCCACCAGGCTCCCCCATCCCTGTGATTCTCCAGGCAAGAACACTGGAGTGGGTTGCCATTGCCTTCTCCGTCTGTAGACACTAGCCACTGAAATTAGACATGAGAAGAAATAGCAGGCATAAATGTTGGGGAAAAAAGGCAAATTATTTATTATGTGTAGATAATATAATTTTAAACTTAGAAAACCTCATAAAACATTATAAAATAATGAGAATTCAATAAAGCCATAGGTTATTAAGTGTATATAAAAGGAATGTTTTCTATATGTTAATTAAAATGACTTAGATGAAAAGATCTCACTTACTATATCAGCTAAAAAATCAAAAACATCTGATACAAGTATAATACAAATAATATGAAGAAAACTTTAAAACTACTGAAATAAAAGATTTATGTATGTGGAAACACATACAGTGTCCTTATATAAGAAGGACGTTGGTGATAAAGATGTAAAATTTCCCTAATTTAATTTACATAATCAAAGTTCTCCTAGTAAAAGTGTTGATTAATTTTTTTAGAAATTTGACAAAATGATACTAAATTAACACAGTTATAAATATGAAAAATGAGAGCAAAGAAGATTTTGAAAAAAATGATGAGAAAG